TATATATATACATAGGTATAAATTATTTTTAAATTAATTTTTAAATCAATTACACATTCCCTTTTATGTGCCTATTATACGGAATATCCGGAAAAGACACGAACAATGCTCAAGGGGAGATTTCTGAGATCATTTTGAAACGAAAATTCTGTTATCAAATTGTTGAAGCTATAACTTTTGAATTATAAGCGTTTAAAATTACAAACAAATCATATTGTCTAATGTTAAATATTGTCTAAAGTTGGCGCGCTCAGGAGCGACACAACACGAAAATTTATCACTTCTTTTGTTAATATTGATTACATATGTGAATAAGATTGTATCTATTATTTCCACAAACGAATTGTACAATAACATTGTACGACAACATTTTTCTTTTTATAATAATATTTTTTACCTTTGTACGATACGCAGAACGCAAGCTGTCAGATAACAGTTCTTTGAGCACTCTGCTATCGATTTTATATTTTAATTAGCAGAAATTAGTAACTTTTTATGTAGAATTATGTAGAATTTCTGCTAATTAAAATATTACTTTGTGTTCACTAAAGAATAAATTAAATTGTAAGTAGAAACTCAGTTCCCACATTCTGATCCAAAAAATATTGTCGGTATAGCATCTGGATGAAGACGAGCTCTTATTTTATTTATTTTGTACTATTTCTTTTCGAAATGGCACAACTAACAATTCTGAATCTTTTTTCTAAGTCCAGCCTTCCGCATGCTCGTATCCATTACAACCATTAGTATAAATTAGATATCTTATAACTAAAAATGTACATAAAATTGAAAATTGATTTATATAAAAAGTAATGAAACAGCATATATTCATGTTCCTTTGGAAATCAGGAAAAATAACTCTCTTCTAAATTAAATTTGTTTGTGCACTGGTACTGCACATCATGTTTTTTTCTTTATTCATTTTATATTATATATTATTCTTTTTTTGACAATTTTTTGGAGTGTATTAACAGCGCCAAAAACAGAGAGTAAGATCAAAGTGCTTTTCCAAGAGAATTGCTAACCTATATAATTATAAGTTAACTATTCTCTGAAAAAGAAATCTTTCTTGCTTGGTTTTTTTTTGTTATTTTTGTTTGCTTTTTCACTTTACCACTTTTTCACAAGAATTATATCAGTATTTCGAGGTTTCTCACATAATACTTCACCAAATGAATGTACGTTATATAGTATTTTCCTCCAAATTTCTACTCTCAGCTCTTTAAATGGAACATTGAAACGGTCATTTAAATAGAGAGAGAGAGAGAGAGAGAGAGAGAGCATTAAAGAAGGAGGAAGTAAAACAGAGCAACTTACTTATTTTATGCATGCGCGCTCCATTTTGGCCAACATAAAATCAGGAGAGTTACGCTACTGTGATACCGTTGTTCGTCCTCGTATCCTTCCATAAATTGTACGAGTTTGTACATGTTCTCACATTTCTCCTTATTTTGCGAAAAATAAATATTATATGTATTATACACATAATAATTGTGTAGCTAAGAAAGTGTGTGCTAATGATAGCATCCTACAAAATTATTATACTTTTATGATTTTAACGTTTTTCTTTAGCCGATTTGTCATTTACAATTGAAATTTTTGCTGGAGAGCACATAACTAAACGTATTAGTATAGACTTATTCGCGTCGCATGCTCCAACATGCTCCAACATGCTACTAATAATCATAAACTATGGTAGAAGCGTATGCTCTTACTCGAATGCGCTCATTAGAGTCAAAGCTATACATATACATATATATATGTGTGTGTGTGCGTGCGTGCGTGCGTGCGTGCGTGCGTGCGTG